CCGAGGCAGTATCACTACGGAAGTAGGATTGCCCAACCTTCCTTCCGAGGAGTGGCTGGTGGGTTTGAACCGCCAGCCTTCTGGTTAGCAGACAAGTGCTTTAGCCACTATGCTACCAGAGCTCCTTAAGCAACTTGTTTAGAGACCTGCTTTTTTGTCCCTAATGTAGGGAGAATACCTTGACCTATCATTCCACCTCCTGCTACAAAATCTTGTTAAGTAGCTACCTGGGCAGACACTTTGGCAAAGGTTTTTTGGCAGGAGTTGGGACCTCTTGGGGGTTTTGAGAAGCGGTTTTGGGGTCATCTGTTTTTCTGCTGTTGCTGTATATTTTCCCATCACAAGTATAAGAATTAGAGACCAAGTCATGTCCAGCATTTCTTCCAATTACTTCTTCAGCATGTTTGGCAATACATGTTGCCCACTAATATACAGGAACAAGGAGTCCATGGTGGGCAGAGGTCTGAGGAAAAGTGAGCGTTGTGTGGATCATCACTGCAGTGGTCACTTTACTGTCACTCTTAAGAAGATCCTTCAGAGACATAAGTTTCTTTCCAATCACCAAAATATAGAAAGATTTAATAAAATTGTTCTGAGCAGGCATGGATGGTGAGGGTGGGGAGACCAGATTTGGGGATGTGCAGTCCATTGTGAGCCATCTAATAAAACAGGAAAAGGTGCAGATGTCATCAAAGCATTCATTGGTTGGTCCAAATGCATGCTTTTGGTAGATCCCTGGATGCCACTTAGCTCTTTTGGGGAAAATGCTGTATGATTTTAAAGGACCACATCTTTAGTGTTTTCGGAAGCCCTTCTAAGCCTTAATTTCTTCCTCTGCAAAATGCCCGGCTTGGAAGAGAAAGCTCGAAGATTTTTGGCTGCTGAGCCCGGGGAGTGGGAGGAACACTGGACTTGGAGTCTCAAGACCCACAGCTGACTGACTCTAGTGCTCACTGGCCTTTGACCGTGAGGCCCGATTGCTTCCTCTGGAGAATCGAAGTAATCATTATCACCCTGTCTTTGATGGTTATTCTGAGGGTCAAAAGCAAGTGGTTTGTAAGTGGGATTGCAGTGGGCAGTGGAAGGGATTCTGGGATGCATGGTTCATACCACATTTGTGTTACAGTATAACACAAGGGTGTGACAGTGTTGGGTAACCTTCAACTAGGACTGAGGCCAAATAAGAAGCCAGCATTTAAATGATGTTCTCTTCCTTTTTGTAACTAGGAAATTCCAGTTTGCACACTGGTTTGGCCCAACATTGCAGGAGAAATCTCTTGGGATGTCTCATTTGTCACTTTGAACTTCTTGGTGCCGGGACTGGTCATTGTGATAAGTTACTCCAAAATTTTACAGGTATGTGTTCTTCAAGGGTCACAGCTGAACTTCACTTGGGCTCAGGGATTTCAGGTAAAAATCTTAGAATTTCAGGGTCAGAAGAGTCCATTCTGGTCCAATTCTGGTTCACTGACCAGATCCAAACAGTGGGCAAAGTGAATTTGATATTTAAAAAAAATAAGTTATATCTTTGTGAATGTTATTTTTTCTGATCAATAAAAGAACATAAGCATATTAGAAAAAATTAAGATAAAAACAGACATGCAGAAATGTGTAACAGAGAAACTGAAAATCTTCTCTAGCCTCATTGTTAATAATTGAAGGATTGCTTTCTCAAGTTATTTTCTTATAAATTTACATATGTATATGAAAATTTCTAGACTCAAAATGGCTTAAGTCAAATGGATTTTCCCACAGAAACAAAGAGCACAGAAACAGATATAATAGGTTAGATCCCTGACTGTGGGCATGGTGCCTGTTATTGATATATTAACACACATTTACTTTGTTATATGTACACATACATACATAAACACATATATGTATGTTTATAGACATATATATAATGAATTATGTGAAATTGCATGTTCAAATTAAAATAGTTATGGAGCTCAGGTAGTGTAGTGCCTAAGGCATTTGACTGCTAACCAGAAGGCTGGCGGTTCAAACCCACCAGCCACTCTTTGGAAGGAAGATGGGGCAATCTACTTCCGTAGTGATACCACCTCGGAAACCCAAGGAGGGGTCGCTATGAGTTGGGTCCGACTTGACGGCACATAACAACAATTTACATGGTTCAACCCAGTTTATTTTTTCCAGATGTGAGATAATACTGTCTGCTGTGTAACTTTTAACACTATATCTTAATATCTTTCCATATCAGTTCCTAGATCTCCACCTCATTACTTTTAATGCCTATATGGTCTTTTAACATACAAATGTGACATAGTTTCTTTTATGGACTTTTGGGTTGTGTCCATTCGTTGCTCATCATAACACTGCAGTGACGAAGAATGTGTACTTTACAAATTTTATTGAAGTAGAATTTATATAGAGAAAAAGCACACCCACCATATGTATACAGCTTTCAAATGGATACCTGTAAAAGCAGGTATGCTTGTGGATACCCGTAAAAGCAGCTCCCAGATCAAGAAATGGAGTGTGACCAGCAGAGCTCAAAAACCCTCTCTTGCTACTTTGCAGTGGTTGCCCTCTACCTCCAAGGATGTGCCTTTAAAATGTCTATGGAAACAGAAAATGATCTCTACCTTCAAAACAAACATGTACCAAGACCTAAAAAATGCATAGCCTGTTTCCCACCTCTTGAGGCAGCACATTTACTGGTAAGGTGCTGGCTCAGGTGGACAGCAGGTACCTAGATGTAAGCCCATTTTAGGAGGCTTAATGTACAGCCTTTAAGTCCTCTAGGAGGTTTACAGTTGTTGAATCCTGGTTTTATAGCATATTATGGGTCATCTGGCAAACAGGCATATTGACGTGGTACCCTGTTGGTCTTGCTTGCTGTCTGGCCACTTTTATGGCCCTTTCTTTGTGAATCAGGATCATTCTTACTCAGAACCCAAAGCCAGGGCAACCTCCACCCAGGCTGCTGCCTCCACCTTGGGTCTTATGGGAGATGGACCCCCATAGTATTCCCTAGACTCTTCCCAGCCAGGTGACTAGTGACCCTCAAAGTGACTACCAACCTGGGACTTACCTGAGGTAGACTCAGGCCTGGAGTTAAGGTCTGTAAAGTGCCAGCAACCAGGCTTTGCATATGAAAATGCTAGTAAGTGTTAGCTATTATCATTGAGTTAAAAACAAAAGAAGCTAGTGAGAAAGGAAGAGAAATGTAGAATGAATTTTTAAAAATTTATTTAACAAATATTTATGTAATAGTTACAATGTACCAGGAACTAACTCATTTAATCTGTTTTATCTTTTAAATAATATTTTATTGTATTTTCAATGAAATTAGGTTCCTACTTAACAACTGTTACACTAATTGTTCAGTGACATTGGTACATTTTTCACAATGAGTCAACATTCTAATTTCATTCTGGGTGTTTTGTTCCCAGTAATCTGGTTTCCTTGTCCTCTTACCGATTCATCTTTGCTTTACACTAAATGTTGGCCATTTGATCTCACATAGATGATTTTTAAAAGGTGCACAGGATTTATGGTTAATATTTTTTATTATATGAGCCAATTTGTTATTTAGCTAAAAGGTGATCTCATGGGGGTAGTGTCAGTTCAAGCTTTATGGAGCTTATCATCTCAGGATGATAGTCTTGGAGACTCCTCTAGTGAGGACTAGTCCAGTGAGTCTAGACTTTTTAAAAATTTGAGTTCTGGCCCACATTTTTCTCCTCTTCTGTCAAGATCCATCTATTGTGGCCCCAATCAAGTGGTCATTAGTGATAGCTGGGCACCATCTAGTTCTTCTGGTCTAGGGGGAGATGAGCCCATACTTCCTGTAGACTGTTAGTCCTCTGGTCTAGTTTCTTCTCTGAGTATTTGTTTTTCTCTTTTGTAATTCATTTAATCTCTATGAGAATTATAGATGAGGAAACTGATGCTCAGATTGCTTAAGTAATTTGCCCAAGGCCACACAGCTCATAATGGCAGGGTCAGGATATAAACCTAGGTAATCTGGTTCCGCAGTTCCAACACCAATTCTTCATGCATTTCTTAAGGGTCTACTCTGTACAAAATGCTGGTGGAAGCTGGAGGATGAGCCAGGAGTGAGCAAATCACATTCTCTGCTTAGAAGGAGCTTTGACACAGGAGATGGAGGAAGGACACAGACAAGGGCACTGCTATTCAATGTAGTGAAACCCTGGAACCCAGTGTAGAGTGATGCTGAGCCTTTGTGTGAATATACTTTGCAAACTGTTAAATGTTACACAAATGTAAGGAATGAATGAGGGCCGTACAAGAGGAACAACCAAGGGTATGAAAGATAGACATGAAGATCTGAAAGGACTATTTGAATAACTGCCTTTGAGTCCTGAATCTTCTACTTACTTGCTGTGTGGTCTTGGGCAAGTTACTTAACCACTCTGAACCTCATTTCTCTTATCTGCAAAATGTCAATCATAACTCCAATAGGAGAAGGTTGTTGTAAGGCATATGAGAGAGATCACTGGTGTAACAATTGTGTGATGCCTGTTTGTAGTGGGTGTTGGACAAATTTCACCAGTTGTTATTTGTTAGGCAAGGCTGCTCCTTCTCTCAGAGCATGATGGGGAAAAAAAAAAAAAACTGCCGAGATTTTGAGAGGATAAATAGGAGGGCCCCTGATTTGCAGCAGAGCAAGAACAAGGAGCTGATCCAGGAGTAGTGCAGGCTGGAAGGGGCGGGCAGCATTTGGCACCTTCTCCTTAGTGGCTCTGCTTCTGTGTCCCTTAGAGGCAAGAAGGCTTTAGTTTGTCCTTTTTGCATTTCTGCTTCACATCTTAGCTCCCTGGTGATGGCAGACTGAATTATTCTATAGAAACATTTCCACTCATAATCCCAAGCCCCCACTTTTTTTTTTTCTCAGACCAAGTCCCACCTGGAAAAAACTCTAGAAAGAAAACAAGAAACTGATGAATTCAGGAATGTGTCCTCTTGTCCACCTGTCTCTATATATCAGTTCATCATTCTCCAAACATTTTGCATATAAACCCACAGTCAGCCTTTGGTTCTCCCCATCAGAGATCCCAGGCCTGTATCCATAGAGACAAAACAGAGTGAGGGAACACGTGAAGCTGCTTGGCACAAAACTGAAAAACCCCGCATCTTTCCAACCAGTCCTCTAGGCTCACCTGTCACCACTGCCACTAATCCAGGCCCGTCTCCAGGCTTCAGAGGTGTCTTCCAAATCACTTTGATCTTTTATTCTAAATAGTCTTCTTTAGAGTGCTTTCTAGAACTCCACGTAATGTTAGAAGGTATTAGGAAGGGTCCATGATCACATTAGTTTGGGAAATGCTCAGTTAAAAGGAGTGAATGGGTTTCTTAGGTGTAGGACTTTCAGAGGCTTTGTTATACTAATGAACACTGGGAATCCGGCACAGGAATAGAGCAGGCAGCATTGCTGAATCTGACTCCGACCAGTTAATAGTGGCCATCAAGCCAATTCTGACTCAAGGTGTCCCCACGTGTGTCAGAGCAGAATGGTGCTTCACAGGATTTTCAATGGCTGATTTTTCAGCAGTAGCTCTCTAGACCTTTTTTTCCCAAGGCCCCTCTTCTGGACTGGTGCTCCATGGAACCTTCTTTGGGAAACCATGCTCTAAATTCCCTGCTGTGCGCTGGTTCTGACCTGAAGAGGGATCCAGAGCAGCTGTGCAGCTAAAGCTCTTCCCGAGGCTTCACCTGGGCTCTTCCCCCAGCCCTCGCCCTTCGTGGTTGCTCAGGGCAGCCACTTCATTCTCCCTTCTGCCATCCCTGCTTCCTCTTTCCTCGTGACTCAGAGACACCATTCATCTCCAGTGGCTTTTTTCCAATCAGCAGTTTCCCAGGGAAATAGCCTCCCAGCCACTCCCCAGTGGCTTCTATCAGGCTGTCAATGCTAGCTGTTTAGGCGTGGTTTGCGTTATTACCCAGCAACCATTGCCATAGCAACATGTGATGCTTCTACCCTTTCTAATAGTGTATGTTCCCCTCCTCACTCTTACAAACACTCCAGAATGGAAGTACAGTGCGGGCAGGGCTTCTTTGCCCCACCATCTTCTTCATTACTGTATGCCCAGCACATATCAGAGTGTTCAGCACACAGTACCCACTGCCATCGAGTTGATTCTGACTCATAATGATCCTATCGGACTGGGTAGAACTGCCCCATAGGGTTTCCACAACTGTAAATCTTTATAGAAGCAAACTGCTTCATTTTTCTCCTGCAGACTAGCTCGTGGGTTTGAACCACTGACCTTTTGGTTAGTAGCCCAATGCTTTAACCACAGTGCCACCAGAGGTCCTTCAGCCCACAGTAGATATCCAATAAGTATTTGTTGACTGAGTAAGTCCATAGC